CCTCCACTATTATTCCATCCAAAAAATTGAAGAATCTTTTTCAGACACAAATGTGACCATCTTGTTACCCTGTTTAGGCCTCTTCTACGGCTCCCTGTTGCTTCAAGATGAATTGCAGGCTCCTCACCAGAGCTCCATGTGCTCTCGCTCTCACCAGTGGCCAGGCCTTGCACAAGAACACAACCTCACATCTCCAGATAACTCGGCCAGGCGTGCATGCTGTTACTTCAAACTGGAACACTATCTCCCAACTTTCTCTGCTCTCCCATGAGACATCCTTCCTACTTCGTGTCATGGCCTACTGTGAACATACAAGATTGAGTCTGTTGCCATTTCTGGCTTCCTCTGGACAGCTACCTTTTCCCTGCCAGGGCCACCGCAATGCCTGTGGCTTCCCTCCGTGTCACTCTCTGTTCTAAACTATCTCTGTGCTGTCTTCTGGATCCCTAGTCAAAAGCCTTCAGTGAGGCCCTGCCCAGTGCCCACTGATTACCTCCATATGCCCAGCACAAAACTGGCACAGTTCAGTGAAAACTAGTTGAATGACTCTGTTGAAAATATTGACTGGCAGCCAGGCATGTGGCAGTATTAATCCCAGTATTCTGGGAGGCAGAGGCAATCAGATCTCTGTGTGTTTGAGGCCAGCCTGGGCTACAAAGTAAGTATAGAACAGACAAGACTATGCAGAGAAACCATATCATGAAAAAGAAAAAAAAGAAATTCAGAAAAAAGAAAGAAAGAAAGAAAGAAAGAAAATATTGATTGGCTTAAAGATGTTGGAGGCAATATCCTAGGAAAGAAGCTTTGAGAAAAATATTTGAATATATCCAGTGGAAGTAAAGAGTCTTGGAATGTTCTGGGACAGACCTGTCCCATAGAAGCATTTCAACTATTGACAATCAAAGAAGGTAAACACAATAAAAATTTGTAGGTGTCATTTGTTTATTAAACAATAGAAATTAAATGGATCCAAGGGCATGTTTAAATCTAAACAGAGATAAGCATGTATAAATACCAAATCTTCACCTTTACACGATATGGCTTCATGTGCCTGCAAACATACACCATAATAGACACAAAAATACCCACTTAGTTATAAGCAGTCACCTACTTGAACATACATCCACACAAATATGGAGTCAAGCACCGCACTGAACACAATATTCAAATGCTGGCCATGCCACAGTGGGCGCATCTTAAAGTGTGTGTGTACTTAAGATGTTTACATGCAGAGACCGATGGGCATGGACACACACAGATGTGAGAATGTAGACACAAACTGATTATCCCCCCAGACTAATACAGCTAAGACTTGTAGAGACCCAAGTTAGTCAATGAGCACAGGCATTGTAGTAGCTGGAATGAGAGCTGCCCTCCGAAGTCTCGGGCAGGTGAATGCTTAGCCTCTGCTTGGTGGCACTGTTTGAAGAGGTTTATGTGGTCCAGCCTTGCTAGAGGAAGTATGTGTGATTAAAAGACCTCACACCACTTCCACTTTGCTCTCTGCTTTGTGCCCATTCAAGAGCAAGAGCCCAGCTGCCCGCTTACCGTGTTCCTCACCACACGGACTATTATTCCCGGAACAGTAAACCAGATAAACTCTTCTATATGCTGTCTTGGCTTTGGTGCTTTATCACAGTAAAGGAAAAGTAAATAACACAGACATGTGGCAACATGCATTTCCACAGAGACCCCAAACGTATACCCAGAATGTTACATGCAGAAAGATGTCCAAACGAAGCTAAGATAGACAGAGGTAGCTGTCATAACTGGCTAACCAAAATGAAACAACATGAAGACACCCATAAATACAAAGGACTCTTGGGTACAACAGTGACTCTCTGGGAAGGAAAAAGAAAACTATGAGTAGGTACTCTAAGACAAGGGACTATAGACAGCAAGGCAAAGTCCTGTGCAGACTTCAGCTCCATCCAGAGCAATCTGAACATCTAATGCAAATCCATGCTTCCTCAAGGATTGCCCAAGAGAGCACCAGGCCCCTAGGCTAAACTCCCTATTCACAGTTATGAGGGTTGAAAAGCACTAATGCTTAGCTCTGCTAAAGAAGCATGGAGGAGAGAAGTTTCTCAGATACCTTCTTCTTTGGGGCGATCCTGGAGGCGCTCTCAACGAGACAGGCCATTGCAATTGCCATTGCTCTTCACCATAACTAGATGGTTAGGAACCTACTGCTGAAGACATTAACAGCTTCGGCTGCAGGACATAGAGAGACCAATCTTGAACTGACTAGGAAGTTGTCTCCTTACTGAGTAGCCTTTGTAGTGCTGGAAGGAGCTGGGAGGACACACATCTCTGGTCTTACCCCGTGCTGGACCCTCTTTGCTACAACGAAAACCAGAGGATGCAAAAGGCAGATTGAAGTTTAGATACCATCAACCCATCTCCTTTTTTCTTATAGAATAATAAGATGTGATAACAGCAAATGAATAAAATAGTTGATATTTATTGGCTTTATGCATTAACTCACACATCACTACCAAGAGGTAGATGCAGTCAGTCCTTGGGTCCTTGACCCTCAGTTTGTCGATGAGGTAGGTCAGCTCCTTGAGGGCAGCCAACATTGCGGCTCTCAGGGAGACTGTAGAATTGCCCCTGGATTGGAGTTTGCCCAAGTTAGGGTTACATTCTATGTCTTGCCCTTGCTCTTAGTCATTCAGCCAAGAGGGGAAACAGAAGCTATCAAAAAGAGTTTCTGAATCTACCATTAACTCACTCTGGAAGCCTGTCCTGAGACACTGCCCTTGCATATGTCTCTTCTAGGTGCCTGTGAGCACTGGTCCCTATGTCTCTCCCATGTGACTTCAGTTTCTGCTCTGTCATTCATGTACCTGCAGAAATCAATAAGGACAAGTACATTTGATCTCTTTTGACCTCTCCAAGCTCCGTTCTTCTGACACTCCCACTCTCACCCCCTGTACAGATCATTAGAGCCTGCCTGATCACTCAGGGTACATCGTGGTGCCAACTTCACTGAGAAAAAGTCTCCAAATTACTCTTGTTCCCATGGAAACAAGGAGAGAGGAGAATTAGGGGCCTAGGGCTAGCACAGGTGCAGGTTGGAAATAAGAAGAGTTGCTTCCTGCCAAGCCCAGGCTAATCCTATTCCCTGCCTCTTCCTCCTCCAAAATCAACAAACAACTTGTCTTTCTGCTTCTTTCTCTGCCTGTTGTTTCCTCCCAGTAGGTCTCCAAATTCACCATAGAAAGAGATGAGCAAAATGCCAGTAATGGCTGTTCCAAGCTTACTCATCACCACCCGTCTAAAGCTAGGGCACCACCATGGTCCATCCATCAAAGCTTGCCATTGTCCACCTACTGCCCCTCCAAGGATCTAGCTGAGACCAACCTCAGTGAGCACCTATTGTTCATGTCAGAATCTGCTGGAACCAAATCCATAGGCAAATCCAAGAACCATCTGTTTCCACTCTCAAGGTCCCTCTTATCGTAAGTAATATGTCTACTAATCCTCCCAGTGTCAAGTTCCATGCTAACTTTTTCTCACCTTAGTGCTGGCCTAGGGGCAATCTCAGTGCTATCTTATTCCCCCTCCCTCCTGAGTCTACTTGATACTGATCCCAATCTCAACATTGTGGCTCCCACAGTGAGCTGTGCCAGGCCATGAAGAGGAAAAAGTGTCAAATCCCGGCTCCTTAATAACTGTGGTAAGCTCAGTGAGGGCAATGATGCACCAACTCCATAATTACTGAAATGACACCGATGATATAAAGGTAACCTTCCTGGGACACAGGTTCATCAAAAGGCACCTGTCCTGGTTGTTAAGGAAGAATTCAGTGTTGAAGAATACTAGGCTCACTCCTTGCGTCTCCATGGCCACCCTTAGCCCCCAAGGTTACCCGTGATGAAAGCATACCTAAATCTCTTCACCTCAATTTGCTAATCCTGCAATCCAGGCATCAGCTCACTTACCACGCCCACAAATATGACCTTTATTTTCCTCAGTGCTCTGTCTCCTCTGGTGGGGAAAGAAGTCTAGAGAGGGAAAGCTGAAAGGATAGAATGTGATAGCTTTTGGCTTGCAGGATTTTCACATATGTGGCCCCATGCCACTCTCTGTGTGCCATTCTCAGTGAGTTCAGATGTAAATAGGAGACATTGTAAGTAACAGCAGCAATGAAGCCAGTGACCCTGTGGGCCTTTCCCACAGATCTGGAAAGGAATACAGTGGGACTGAGTAAATTAGAACTTTGCTACCTATTGGAGTTGTTATCATTTCTCAGGACCTAGACAGGCCCTCCATCCTAGACTTCTCCACAGGTTCTGAGCATCAGGAGATAGCCGGGCCAAACCCAAGGCATATCCAGACCTGGAGACAGGTGTTGACTCCAAGACCGTCCTGGGATTTCAGTGTGCTTCTCCTGGGTACTGCCCAGTCATTCTTGCCCCAAGAGCCACCATCCACCTCCCCTGTGGTCTCTTCTTCCCAGTTCTTTAGGTTCAGGACCCTTTTAATTGGAAGACTCCCAGGGTCCAGGGTAGTGGTGCAGGCCTCAAGAGGCAGAGACAGGTGGATCTCCATGGTCTACATTCTGAGCTCCAGGCCAGGCTGGACTACATAGTGAGAGCTTATCTCAAACAAGAAAGAGAAATGGACATTCAACTTCATAGCCGTTTATCCTGCTTCAAGTCAATGAATCACAGGATTCTTCTCTCAAAGGAACCCACAACCAAGGCTCAGATGGGTCAGGAATATAAATGTTATGGAGGATTCAGATCTGGCTTCTTTCTACTGTCCTCTGTAACAAATAGCCCTAGAGCCCTTCCTCCTCAAACATGACAAATTCATTCTACTCCCTGTTAATCTCTCACAGGTCCTCCTCCACTTTGAATGTTGGCTACATCCCAACCTAGGTGCATGGTGGGGGGTGAGGGGGCCAGTCTGGAGGTGAATTGAGACAATTGCATAATCAGCACCAAAGGTCAGCCTTCTAACTCAGGATGAATATAAGCAAGCTAATTCAGCCACCACTGCCTGTCTGTCGCCCTCATTGCAACCATGCTTGCCTCTGGACTGCTCCTGGTGACTGTGGTGGCCTTCCTCAGCATCATGGTCTTGATGTCTGTCTGGAAGCAGCGGAAGCTGGCAGGGAAGCTGCCTCCGGGACCCACACCACTGCCCTTCATTGGAAACTTCCTTCAGCTGAACCTGGAGCAGATGTACGACTCCCTCATGAAGGTACTGCCCTGGGCATGCAGAGGGGTAGAACACAAGCAGGCTGGGAGGGACGCCCAATATTGATTGCTGCTTTGTGGTAGGGTATTGACCAGGAGGGAGTGTAATTTTAGGCCAGGGGAATTGTAAAGAATCAACCAGTTCCCGGACATGTGGCATCACTTCTTGGGACACCTGGTCTGAGAGTTGTTCAACTCTAGAGGAATGAATCCCAGGAAGCATCAAGGTTTTGGCCACCCCCTCTAACCCTCTTACCTACCTCCATCAGATCAGTGAACGCTATGGTCCTGTGTTCACCATCCACCTGGGGCCTCGCAGAATCGTGGTGCTCTGTGGGCAGGAGGCAGTCAAGGAGGCTCTGGTGGACCAAGCTGAGGAATTCAGTGGGCGGGGCGAGCAGGCCACCTTTGACTGGCTCTTCAAAGGCTATGGTGAGGGGACCCAGATGGGGACTGCAGCAGGGGACATTTGAGGGCATCCATTTCCCAGCCTTCTCTCTTCCACCTCCTCCAGGCTGTCTTCTCCAGGGCATCACTGCCTCCTGCTGGGTCATGTCTGAGGCTTGTCTCTCTGCCTATTTCCTGATTCCCACAGCACCCCCCAGGCCTCCTCTTGCACCTTGGGATTCCTCTGTCTGAATCCTACTCTTGTAACCTGAGCCAAAGCTACCCCCAAACCCAGCCTGGTCATTCTCAGGTTCTGTGAACAGGCAGGATGCTTTCTGTCCTCTCCGTGCTTTCTGCTTCCACTGCCAGACTTCACAGAACATGTGTTCCCACGTCCTGTCTCCAGGCAAAATCCTCTCCTCTCCCCAGACTCTCTTTGGGTCTCTCTCCTTATTTCCCTCTCTTTTCTAGCTCAGTCATGCATCTTTCACAACTTTCACATCTTCCACTCCCAGGTCTCCACAGTCTCCAGCCTTTTCCCTGTTTCTCTGTGTCTATCTCTTGCATCTGTCCTCCCTCTTCTTACTGTCCCAAAGCGTAGTTTTGTAGTGCTTTCTTGTGTTCTGCATGCGCATTTCCAGCAATCCCTGTGCATCTTGCTCGCTCTGGCTCTCCTCTAGGGAGCCAGTGCTAGGGTGGTCAGTGGACAGTCACGCCTCTATTCTCTGATGTCTCCTGGCTCCCTTCTCACCTGCCCAGGAGTAGTCTTCAGCAATGGGGAGCGAGCCAAGCAGCTGAGACGCTTCTCCATTACTATCCTGCGGGACTTTGGTGTGGGCAAGCGTGGCATTGAGGAGCGCATCCAAGAGGAGGCGGGCTTTCTCCTCGAGGCATTCCAGAAGACAAAGGGTAAGCTGAGCACCACAATTTCTCACCAAGGAGAAGACAGACTCGGGAAAGTGGCATCATGACCCAGGAAGGGAACCAGGCGGGGAGCAAGTGTCCTGGACCCCCGCTGTGGCGTGGGGTCTGGGTTTTGGCTCAGTGCTGCAGTCAGTGCCTTTTTGAATTCTGTGATTAAAGCATCTGATGCTATCACACGGTGATGTTCCCCCCTCCACCCCAATTTCCAATGTCTCCCTCTCCTTCTTCACCCTCACCTGCAGGTGCTACCATTGACCCCACCTTCTATCTGAGCCGAACAGTCTCCAATGTCATTAGCTCCATTGTCTTTGGGGACCGATTCGACTATGAGGACAAAGAGTTTTTGTCACTGCTGCGGATGATGCTGGGAAGCTTCCAGTTCACGGCCACATCCATGGGGCAGGTACCCTGCCTCAGCCTTGCCTTAATTTGCCCCCCTAGTACTGCTGCCAGCCTATTCCCAAACTACCAGCCTGCTCAAGCAGTGTCTTCAAGCTGGCCTGGCAGTTAGCACCAGAACAGATGTTAATACAGAGTCAACAGTTGCACCTGAAATCAGCTGGCGGCAGTCTGTCTACCTGTGTGCCTGTCTATCTGCTTCTCTCTGTGTCTCTCTCTATCTAAGTGAGTGTGTCTCTCTGTCTCTTTCTGTGTGTCTGTCTCTCTGTCCTTCTGTCTCTCTCTCACACACACACATAAACACACACACACACAGACACAGACACACACACAGACACACACACACACACACACACACACACACACA